AGCAGCTGATAGGATCTTTTACAAAATATAAGTCAGAGCCAGTGTGGTGGGGCACTCCTGTAGTCTCAGCACTGGGGTGGCTAAGACAGGAGGATCACATGTTTCTGCCTAGCCTGGGCAGTTCAGTGACTTAGTGAGACCCTCTCTCTCAAAAAAAAAAAAAAAAAATTGAAGAAAAGGATGAGGATGTAGCTCAGTGTGAAAGACCTGCCTTCAGCCTGCAGTAACACATGCGCACGCACACAGCCAAGGGCTGCTACCCTTCTGCTCAGAGCCTTCTGTGGCTTACTGTCAGATGGAAGCCACTGTCCTTCCAGTGTGGTGCTCTGCTTGTGGCCCCCGCTCCCCTCTCACCCGTGTTACTCTCCCATCCACCGTGGGCTCCATCCAGCCTGGCCCTGACTTCCCCGCCTCTCCTCGGTTCTGTGGCCAGCATCACTCTGAAGTAAGCTTCTTAATAAAGTTTTCACACCTTGCGTGCAAAGTCTTCATGCTGGAATTGTGCACAGACTGTATATGTCTTCTGGAGTTTGACGGTTTTGTCCTCTTCTTTCCCTGAGCCCACCAGCAGCTACCTTTGGGGTGTGGGTATAGTAAGGATCGATGTAACCATCTCCCAGCTGACCTTCCTGTGGGGATGAGCAGCCCTGCCCTCCTCTGCACGTCTGTCTCACCATGTCCCCACACACATGCTTCCCTTTCTGGACTGGTGCTTACGGGCCAGGGGTTTATTTTCCATCTTTGTGCCACTTTGGCCTTTTCTTAGCTTCTTTCATTCAGCTGAATGCATTTGAGCTTCTGTTTGCTCTGAGGAAATGAACTTTGAATGTGGTGAGGACAATAAGGAAAGAAGGAAATGTTTGATTTTTTGGGGTCAGGAGATTAGTGTGTCTGGAACCTATTAAAGTAGGGGTTGCCAGACTAAGGCCAAATCTCTGGCCTACCACCTATTTATTGTGGCCTGCAAGTTAAGAATGGTTTTTACTTTTTCCCACCCCCTGAGGATTGGACTCAGGGCCTTGCATATGTTAGGCAAGTGGTCTACCACTGAGCTACACCCCAGTCCTTTACAGACTTTGAAACAGGGTCTCCCTAAGTTCCTTAGGCTGGTCTCAAACTTGTGATTCTCCTGCCTCAGCCATCCGGGTAGCTGGGATTATAGGCATGTGGCACCATGCCTGCCTTGGATTTTACATTTTTTAAGCGGTTGGAAGAAAACGTAAAATTTCATGACCCAGGAAACATATGAACTTTTTAGGTGTCATCTGTGGCTGCTTGCATGCTGCCAGGGTCTGTCTGAGGGGCTGTGATGGCAGAGACTTTCTGGGCGTCAGGGCCTCATATAGTTACAGTCAGGCCCTTTATGGAAAATATTTGCTGTCCTGCTACATGGATCGGTCTGGGCCCGTGGGGACAGCTTCAACGCCTGGGGCATGACAGGGTGGGCTGGGTGTACAGAGGAGAGGTTTGAGTTTTGCAAAGCTGGGTTGCAACATTTCGCCCTAGGCTGTTTGTGGCAGGAGGTAGAAATGTGTTTATTTTCTGTTTTAGATCAATCTAGCCTGGTCACATCAGTGAGCAGAGTTTATGGTTTTAGATAACAGCCAGAGATTGTTATTTTAATCTCTGAACTTGTGTGTATTTTAATCATTTTTCTCAGTGACAGTGGTTAAACTACTTTGAACCACATATGCCAGCTTTTAATGAACTGGAAGGTATTAGAATAAATCTTTTAACAAGTGTGAGCGTCTTAGTTGCAGCATTACAATGACTAGCATTTAGCTTCCTTTTCAGTAGGAGGTCCCAGCTGATGAATTAACTGTAAAATGTGTGTACATACAGTATATTAGGCCATCTTAACTGTGACATATAATCACAGGTAGTTTTCTTCAATTTTACTCAAGCAGGACTTGCCAAGATTAAACCTACGGATCTGTTCAAACTTGAAATGAAATTCTACCTTTTGTGTAAGCCAAAGGATTTTTTTGTCTGTAATGTAACATTTCATTTATATATTGTCTTCAGGGTATGCATTCCTGTGTAATAGGAATGTCTAATGGTTGGATTTTAATTGTCCTTGTAAGTTCTTTCTGCCTTCTGTGAATGAGGTAGCTAAGCTTTTTAAGGTCTTTGTGAATGTTTTTTGTTGTTAGTTTGGTTAAAGAGAAATGACAGCAATTATTAATGTTTGTGATGTAGGAATGACTGACTTAATTAGCTATTTTGTGTGGTCATTAGACATAAGTAGCTGTTCACATTATAGCCACATCTTAAAATATGACCGTTTTTCCAGCCTCTGTGTCTAGGATGTGTGGCTCTTGATGGGAAGCTTGAGCTGGTGCCTCTTCCAGGTGCTGCATCCGAGAGCATGGCTCACTGTGCACGTCAGTAAGTGCTTGGACCGTGTAACATGGGCATAGGCTACGCTGGTTGTGCCAGTTTCCTTGCTGTTTAAGCCTGGCTTGAGTCAGTTCCACAAGTGAATGCCTCTTGGGGCCTAGAGATACAGAAAAAGATAAGGTACTTGCAGTCTCAGTTTCTCAGGGGCAGGAGTCCAGCTGGGAGAGCAGACATGTAAGCATAAGTGATGTGGATGAGTTAGCTCCAGTTCCAGGGGAGCACAGAGTTGGGAGCCAGCTTACCCGGATGACAGGGATCACTGACCTTGCATAGTCAACAGATTGTTGTGTGCTAGATGTTGTCATATGGGATTCTTCTTCAGTAGCTATTGATAGTTATTTGGATTTCAGGAGTCGTTTGGTTGGCTTTAGTTCACTTACATTTGTGTGCGTGTGTGTTGAAAGCATGATACATATATGACACGTTAACATGAAACAACAGTGGAACAATTCAGAACTAGCTGGTGAGTACCGTTCTTTGATTGGAATATGTTTTCCTAAGAATGATGCTTTTCCTGCACCTTGTGTAGTCTGTGCCGCAGTTTCATTCCAGATTTTGCTATACTGATGGCAGTTCTGATGGACACAGGTTTCAAGGACTGACCCTGCCTTGGAAGGAGGACTTTCTGGTGGGAAGCTTGGAGCCCCTGGGAAGGCAAGAGCACAGAGGACCAGCTGAAAGGCAACCCTGGCTTCTCTATAATAGGCGTGTGTAAAGTCACACTTCTTATTTATCACACTTCTTAGCCTCCAGAGTAGGAAAAGGAGGTATTATTATAGATTCTTGAGGTTGTAGAGCTCTATTTTTATTTGTAACATTAAATAATAACTGTCATTAAAGCTTTGTATGGTGGAGTTAGATTTATACTCTTGTCATAGCAAGGTGGTCACCCTTGGTGTTCTTCGTTCACGGTGTTGACCGCGCCTGAATACCTTCTGCAGTACATTGAGTGCTCCTCAAGGCCACCTGGGGAGTGTTAGTGAACATTCTTTTCATGGCAGTATTGTCACAAAAAATACCTCATGTATTCAAGCATTTCTTACAGTTGCTGAGGCGGGTGTAATGCTGTACCCTTGAATTTCACTATTTTCCTCAGGTTCTTCATCACAGAGACACTGGGTCAGTGTTTCCTGACCCACACTTAGGTTGACTGGGGGAGATCTAGACACATTATTTTGTGTTTCCAAATTTTTAGTTGATTAAGTTATACTTCTTTTTCAAAACAAACTTGAGGTGTTTTAAAAAATACAGTTACAAAGATGAAAGATAGTGGAGGGAACTGGGGATATAGTTTGGTGTTAGAGTGCTTGTTGGGGTTTGATCCCCAGCACTAGCCTAAAACCAAACCAGACCAGACCAAACCAGACCAGACCAAACCATACTAGACCAAACCGGACCAGACCAAGGGAGGAAACTGGAGAAAAGGGAAAAGCCTGATAGGAAGAGGTTTCATACCCTTGTTAAACATGATCACAAACTTGACTCCAGGCTTGCCGAGGGCCCAGACAGAGAGGGAAACATAAGCCATGTGGTTCTTGTCTCTCCATAAGCCAGGCACACCACGTGGCATACAAGAAGTCCCAGTGCTGCAGCTCATGGACAGGAAGTGTCTCCTGGCTCAGAAGAGAAGGGATCATCTGTGGAGTGTCTTCTTCGGTGGCCCCCAGCAGCTCAGGGTTTCCAGTATAGAGTTGCGGTTCAGCTCCCTCGTCCTCTCGCTTAATCCAAGGATGAAGTAAATGTAGGGTGCTATGATCGCGCACTGAGAGCTGAGGGAACATCTGCACGGTCAAGATTGTCTCTGAGAGTCTTTCACACTGTCCAACAGTCTGCCATTCAGATTGTGGTTTCCTTAGGGGATTTATGGAATGAGGAAGTTGGCTCGCATTTAGGGGCTGAGTTGCACAAAACAGTTCTTATCTTCAGAGCGCTGGGTGGATAGTCAGCACAGACAGAGGCCCAAGGGCTGCCACAGGGTCGCCTCCCTGGTATGCGCTCCTGGTGGGAATTAGTGCGCTCCACTCCCTGCCTTAACCTCCCGCCTGTTCCGGTGCTGCGGCCTCAGCACATCGGGGTGGGTGGTGCACCTGTCCTCCAGCCGGCCCTCGTGAGTGTTTCTCACCACGAGACTTAGTGCACATTGGGTGGCAGGGCAGGCCCAGGAGCGTGAACAGTCATTGGAGCTGCCTTTGGGTGTTCCAGAGTGGGACACTGGGGTCATAGTACCTCTGCTGGGGTGACAGCCCTGCTAGTCATCGACTGTGTGGTGTTACTCCACCTTCTCTCTGTGGTCCTTACCTCTCAGTAAGGTGGCGAGGGCAGCACTAATTCTGGGTATCAAGAAGCTTAAGAGAGAACACAGTAGGGTTGAGCAGTGCCTGGTGGGTGGTAGGCGTGTGTGTGTGTGTGTGTGTGTGTGTGTGTGTGTGTGTGTGTAGCTCTCTTGTTCTCTGTTGATGCTAAGGAGCTGGCTGAGGAGCCCACCTGCACCTCTCCCTCAAGTACTTAAAGCAGTTTCTGAATAGATCATGGGGAAAGTAGAATCTTTTTTTTTTTTTTTTTTTTTTTCCCTACTTTGTAACAGTTTTGTTTTCTTCCAGAGAAACAGCACCCAGGACGATCTTCCAGAGAGTCTTGGATATCTTGAAGAGATCTTCTCATGCTGTTGAGCTGGCCTGCAGGGATCCGACCCAGGTGGAACATCTGGCTTCCAGCCTGCAGTTGATAACGGAGTGCTTCCGGTGTCTCCGGAATGCTTGTATAGAGTGCTCTGTGAACCAGAATTCCATCAGGTAGTAGTCCTCATGGGACATGTACTTCCGAGTGTATTTCTGTGTTTTTGTGCTTGCTGGTTCTGTCATTGGGGACTGTTTATTAAAGTTGTGGCTTTGGTATCACGCCTTGCTTTTCCAGGACTGTCCTTTACTGCCATAGGTGAGAAGTACGTCCTTGATATGTCACACCCTCAGAGTCAGTTAGACCAGCATATGATGCCCAGCATGGAGCAGAATGTGTTTAGCTTTGGGGTTATTTAGATTTCCTGTTTGTATTTGTAACATGTTTTAAGGTTCTGCATGTAATGATTTGAACTTGAGTTTGATTCTTTGTTCGGAGATTCTGCCTGCCTGAGTTCATATGTAGTTCTTAACCTTACTTCTCTTAGTTGCAAATATTTTCATTGGTCACTTGGTGTTTAAACAAGAGGTAGGATTTATAAATTTTGAAGATGATTTGTCTTAAGATCTTAGATTTCCAAGGTCTGATTTCATGTATTTTATAACATGTTTTAAGAAGTAGTTAAACAGTGAGAGAGAGATTGTCCCACGCTGTTCTTTTCTTTTACTTGTTAGTCTCTCCTCCTAGAACTGGGCCTCTTTCCTTTTTGATTTTGTGGAATCTGTTTCTTATTAACATTTTTACTTGAAGTCAGAAGCCACAAGCTGGATGGCCAGCTTTCCTGGACATTTGGGTAGAGCCTCCAGGCCGTTCTGCCCCTACTGTGATGGGCGAGGCTGGGCCGGTCCAGAAACTGTTCGAGGGATGTCCTCTGCTGCCTGACAGTCTTATGCTCGAGGCTTTCATATGATTAACGAGCTTTGTAGATCAAAGGAGCAGGGGGAAAGGCTGAGGTTAACTACAGTGCTAAACTAAGCCTGCTGTCCATTTGCAGAAAAATGGATGGAAACGGTAATAATCTTGCTAATAATAGTTAATATTTTAAAATAGAAGTAGTTCTGTGCTAGAAGCATATGGCCAGAGAGCCCTTACCTTTTGTTCTTTTCCAGGCAGGGAAGTGCTCTAAAGTGGTATGGAAAGGGGGTCATCTGCTTTGCTGGCCTCTGTGGGCAGGGACATGTGCTGCAGGATCAGGCTTTGTCCCTGCACCCATTTGCAAGGTCTGGGGTAATTTTTAGGACAAACTGAACACATAGTACACTACTAGTTTTCCATTTTTACAAGAGAAGACACTGACTACGAGAGGTTAAAAAATGCATCCTAAAGTCACTCACTGAACCAGCACAAGAGTCTGGGCATGTTCTCTCCTCCTCCAAGCATCTGACTGTAAAATAGCCCCAAAGCAGGTGGCTGTGCCTGTCCTGAGGCCTGCACGCTGGCCCTGTGTCCAGTGACTTCTCCATCCCTTCCGTATTCTCAGGACCCTGGACAAGGGACAAAGGCATTCTGAGTCTCAGGTTTCTCCTCTGTAACACAGGATGACCTTGAGGGGAGATGAAATTCTTCTTTTTTTTTTGTTTTTTTTTTGGTTTTTCTCCGGTACCAGGAACCGAACTCACGACCTTGTGATTGCCAGGCAGGTGCTTTGCCGCTGAGCTAAATCCCCAGCCCCGGGGGAGATGAAATTCTTTAGTAAAATGCCTACCCCATCCCGTGTGCTCGGGATGACCTGTGATCGGCGTTTCTGACTCAGAAGGGCCAATATGGTACAAGCTTAAGATAACATTACTTTCTTTTAAAACAATTCATTTTATTTTATTTTATTTTATTAGCAAAATGTGCAAGTTATAAAAGCTCAAACATAAAAGTAAATATGGCAGCAAATAAAATAATAGCAGTCTTCCAGCACAGCCATCTAAGCAAGGGCAGGGTGTACAGTGATAACGTCTGTATTGCAGCCAGGCATGGTGGTGCACACCTGTAATCCCAGCACTCGAAAGGCTGAGGCAGGAGGATTGCCGTAAGTTTGAGGCCAACCTGAGCTATATAGTTAGTTCAGGGGTAGCCTGAACTATACAGCAAGACCCTGTCTCAAAAAACAAACAAACAAACAAACAAACAAACAAAATTTCTTTATTGCACACAACTTAGGTTGGTAGAAATGAAAACTAACAGTTAAGGGTATTAGTTTTTCTGTCTCTGAATTTCTAGGATTGTGTTATTCTATAGTCACTGTTGATTTCCAGAGGGAAATTCCAACCATTTAGGGCATTAGCTCCTGAATAACAGTTTTCTAGTCAGAAATATAAGAGATTCCAATAAGAACTTCACGGCCAACTTTAACTAAAGTCAGTATTTCTGAGCTGGTCAGGATTCAGATCACAAACTACATATTTTTTTCTGGCCTTTGAGAGAAGTTACTAAGGCGTTAGTTAAAGGCATGATGCTTCACAGGCCTGGATCTTTGTGTACGGAAAGGGGTGAAATACAGCGGAGCAAACAGTGTGAGCTCCCTGAAGTTTGAGGACACACTCAGGAAAGGGAATTCAGAGCAGTCAGCTCTGCCTGTGAATGTGACTCCTATTGCTGGGTCACTGTGATAGAGCCTCCAGAAAGAACCTGCTCTGCTTCTATAAAGTGCCAGGGTGCATGAGAAGGCTTTGCGGTTGGTGTTTCTCAACTCTCCCGGTGTAGGGTGAGAGCAGACACAGACACAGACACAGAATGAGTGAGCCTGGGTGTATTCCAGTAAAGCTTCACTTTTGAACAAATGCATTTGGAATTTCATGAAATTATCATGCTGTAAAGTTATAGCCTTTGATTTTTTTTTCTCCCAAACATTTAACAAGGCAAACACCATTCTTAGCATACTTGCATTACAGAGATAGGCAGCAGGCCCAGTAGCCTGGCAATCATCTGTCCATGTAGAAGCAAGAGCAGAACAAGTAGAACAGCCTCTTCCTGGAGGTGGGTGCTGAGCTCTTTCCCCATATCTTCAGCATGAGAGAGGAGGTGAGGAGCACTTGCCCCTGACCCCCTGGACTAGAGGTATGGAGAGAAGACGGCAGACACAGTGAACCTGACTGCCACAAGCTCCTTTCACTAAAACCAGTGCTTACCACAGGGTTCTGGCATTCCACCTGTGCACTGTGGGAGCTTTCTCTTTAGGAGTGAATGTCAGCATGCTGTGGAGAAGTGAAGAAGTCATAGAGCTGTATTACTTTCCTGTTGCCACAAACTTTGGGTTAGAAACAACAGAGAGTTTTTATCTTATAGCTCTGGAGTTCCTGAGTCCACAGTCAGTCCTCAGGCTTAAAGTCAGTATCTGCAGGGCTGGTTCTTTCTGGAGGCTCTAGAAAAATCATTTCCTTATCTTGCAGCTTCTAGAGGCCGTCTACTTTCCTTGGCTCATGGCCACATCCTCCATCTTCACAAGCAAGAGTAGAGCAGGGCATGGCTAGAGCACACTCGACATCTCAGTACTCCGGGGAGCTGAGGCAGAGAGATTGCAAAGTTTAAGTTCAGTCTGGGCAACTCAGCAACTTTGCAAGAGTCTGTCTCAAAAATTTAAAAGGGGGATGGGTGTTGGGGATGTAGCTCAGAGCAGAGGGCTGGGTTCAATCCCTAGCACTGCACACATACATACACAAAAATACAATAGTAGTGTGGCATCTAGCATCTCTTTTTTTGGACTCTGACCTTCTTGGGTCCATTTCATGAGGACTCTTACTAGACTCAGCCCAGGATAATCTCTGTCTCAAACCATAATTGTTTAATCACATCTACAGAGATCTTGACACCAACCAGTTCAGATTCTCCGACACCAACTGGTTGTCTGAAAACTCACTTCTCTTCTGACACTGTCTGAGGAGTTAGTGGTATTGCAGCCCATAACTTAAAGGCTCAGATCAAAAGACTGCTACCACTTCAGATGCCAGCTGGAAAAGGAGTGCCCAGGGAGCTGTTCTGAGGGACTGATTAAAGCCGGGGGTGTCCAGCTAGTCCCATGACTCAGGATTGATGAGTTACTAGAAGTACTTACAGAGCCCAGGAAACTGTTTGCATGCTGTTACGGCTCACTTTGAAGGACGCACGTCAGAACATCCAAGTGGGAGACGGACACAGGACAGCATGGCAGTGGGGCAGTTGTTGCCCTCTCTGGGTATGCCCTCCTCTTCTGCAGACTCCCTTGTGCAAGTGGGATTGATTACATCACTGTCCACTGGTAACTGAATTAACCTTGGTCCATCTCCCCTCCCCTGAAGGGGAGCTCAGGCCAGCCACCCTTCTGAGCTCTGCCTGATTACTTCACTAGCATCAAAAGGGGCTTTTATGAATAACAAAAGATGCCCCTTCCATTGAGGAAAGTGAAAGGGTTTTGGGAACTCTGTGACTGTGCCAGGAACCCAAGACAAAGACCAAATACCGCTTACTATGCCGCATTTCTTTGCTGTACAGTACATTTTGAGAAGTCCAGGGTTTACAATATAGACTTCTTTGGAGGACTATTCTTTTGCTTACCACCGTCTCTTTGGCCCCTACATCTGTCACACATGCAAAATACATTCGTGCCAACCCAAGATCCCCCAGATTCTCAACCCGGTATAGCGTAGACTCTCATTCAGCATGTCCTTAACCTCATCAGCTCTGGAGTTAGTTAAAAATTCCCACGATCCCTGACACCTGTGGACCTGTGAAACCATGAGAGATAAGTGTCTGCTCCCCAAGTATACCAGCTATAAGATGACAGCTGGACACCCCTTTCCCTTCGCTTCTACTTCCCCAGGGGATGGAGTTCAGGCAGGGACTCCTGCTGGTGTGTGGCAGGGTCACTTTCCTTCAGTCTCTACTGGCATGCTTGTTTCCTCACAAATTCACACCAGCAGTCCTGCAGGACTCATGTTTCTCCCAACAGTCTGCTTGAGGCGCGGTGGGCTTTTTCCAGTGCTGTTCCTCAGAGTTCTGTTAGCTTTTGTCCCTTAGCAAATTCCAAAGCCTCGTCCGCATTATAGGTATTTGTGAGAGCAGCACCTGACTCCCGCTACCCAAATCTATAGTACTTTCCTTTGCTGCTGTGACAAATTCCAAAAACGTAATGATTTAAAACATCCTGCAGCTATTATCTTACAGTTCTGGGATTCCAAAGGCTAAAAAGGGGGTCGGAATGGCTGTGTTCCCTTCAGGATGCTCTGAGGGAGAATTGTTTCCTTGCCTTCTAGCTTCCAGAGGCTGCTGCATTCCTTGGTGCATGGCTTCGTTCCACCTGGCTCTGATTTATAAGGATACTTGTGATTATATTGGGCCCCCACATATCCAGGGCAGTCTTCCCACCTAAGGATTCTTAGTTTGGTTTCCTTTTTGCCGCATAGGGTGATACATTCACACACTTGGGAGATTTGGGTGTGGATTTCTCTGGAGGCCGTTATTCTGCCCACCACAGTAACTTTCAGCCAGTAGTGTCCACATCATGCATTAAATTATCTTTTGAAATGCAATGTTAGGAAAGAACGTGTCTAATTTTGTCTTTTTAAACCTCATACAGGAACTTGGATACGATTGGTGTTGCTGTTGACCTGATTCTTCTGTTTCGTGAGCTGCGTGTGGAGCAGGATGCCCTGTTGACAGGTAATTTGGAGTAGGGTTGTGGAGGATTTTATATCTTGGAAGAAGGTTTTCAGCCAGCGCTTGGTTATATCATCCATTGACGCACATATTCTGTATTTCCTGAGGTAGGGAGACTTCTGCAGTGAGATATGAGAAGGTTACAAGGTTGCGTTGACTGCATTGTTTCTCTTCTTCCTCTTTTTCTCCTTCTTTCTTTTCCTCTTCTTCTTCCTTTTTTCTTCCTCCTTCCTCCTGTTCTTTCCTTCTCCTCTTCTTCTTCCTTCTCTTCTTTTTTTCTTCTGTAGTACTGGAGACCTAAGGCTGATGCATTCTAGGCAAGTAATCTATCCTGAACCCTTTTTATTTTTTATTTTGAGACAAAGTCTTGATAACTTGCTCAGATTGGGACTTGGACTCATGATCTTTCTCCTTCGGCCTCCCCAGTAGCTGGTGTTCCAGGCGTGTACCATCTTGCCTGACTTCTTCCCACCTTTTATACTGTGGTCTTCCTTAGTCTGTTTGGGCTGCTGTGCAGTGTGCTTAGCCTGGGTAATTGGTAAACAGTAGTTTATTGCTCATAGTTCTGGAGGCGAGAAAGTCTGAGCTGAGGGCACTGGATTCGCTGTATCGTGAGGGTACCCTCTGGCTTAAGGATGTCACTTTCTTGCTGTGTCCTCACGTGGTAGAAAGGCAAAGGGCAAGAGCCACTTCTTACCTCTTTATCATAGGGGCATTCACCCCAGGACCTAGACACTTCCCAAGGGCTCCTTCTTCCCACCAAGGCACTGGGATTTGATTTTAGCATTGAATTTTGTAGTGACACAAACATTCCAACTGCAGACAAGTCCTAACCAGAATATGACTGTACCTGGAGATAGATTTTTAAAGGGGTAATTAGACTGAGGACGTTAGATGCTGTCCTGGTGAAAAGCGTATCCCTGCCACCCTATCATATGACATAGATGTATGCAGAGTACAGAGCAGCTGAAGATGTAGGGAGAAGGTGGCCGTCCCATGCCAAAGAGAGAGGTCAGAGAAGAGATCAGTGCTGTTGGTTCTTCAATCTGGGCTTCTAGGCTCCAGAACTATGAGAAAATAACCATCTGTTGCTGACGCTGCCAGGTCTTTGCCTCTTCATGACGGCAGTGTGAGCTGCCTAACACGCTGTCTTCTGATATTTACCCGTGACAGCCTTCTTGTAGGTTTGGGTACGATTCCAACAGTGACCAAAACAGACAAAAATTTCTGCCCTCAGGAGCTCACATTCCAGTGTGGGGAAGCAGATATTAAATCTGTTAAAGAAGTTAGATACAGAAAGGGAAGCTACTTCTACGTGTTAGTAGCTGTTGATTAAGAGAAACACCAAGCTGCTTTGCTTGAAGAGCTGGACTATTTTGAGTGTTTTTAGTCTTCGTACTATGAGTATCAACACTTCTTTTAGACAAGGGTTATTATCCGAATGTTAAAAACATCAAGGGATTTCACACATGATCTCTCTTTTTTTTTTTTTTTAAGTCTTTTTGAGACAGGGTCTCGCTATGCAGTTCAGGCTGGCCTTGAGCTCACTTTGTAGCCCAGGCTGATCTCGAACTCACAACGATCCTCCTGCCTCAGCCTCCCGAGTGCTGGGATTACAGGCGTGCGCCACCACACCTGGCCATACATGATCTCTTGTCCAAGGAATTGAGAGATTTTAGGATAAGTCTAAGTTATTTGATAAGCAAATCTTAATGTAAATATCTAGTGAGTGTTTTTGTAAGTTGTAATCAGAAATATGGTGAATGCTGCTGCTGAGTGCCATCCAACCAAAAGGCAGACACATAAAAACGTTGTAGTGCGTCCTCATCCACCTTATTCCCCGGATCTGACACTGGGTGACTTCTGGCTCTTCTCCGAAGTCAAAGTGCACATGAAACGGAAACATTTTGAATCTGTTCAGTACCTCAAGGCAGCCATGACAGGGCAGCTAAAGACATGAGAGAGGATTTCCAGAACGGCTTCAGAAAGGGGCAGAAACAATAAAGCAATGGTTCAAAGTGAGGGGGGGTATTTTGAAAGGGATTGATGGGAATGTGTCTTTCACTATAATAGTTTAAAAAATTAAACACTGTATTTTTTTTACCATATCTCGTATAAATAGATTTCCACAGTTTTTATCCCTGTTCTTACTATCCGAGGCTTGATTATGTTAGTGTTAATGTGATGTTGCTCTTGGCAGGCAGTGAGGATTAGAGGTGAGTCTCTTTACAGGCGCGAAAACTGAAGCTCAGAGGTGAAGTTGTGGGGTGGAGGTGCTGCCTAGGATGGTTTAATTTTTCTGTTTTGTAGTTTCTTGGTGTTTTCATTTCAAATTCAGTTTGTTAAAATTCTTGGCTTTTTCTGTTTGATTTGCAAATCATCCTTTGGGAAATGGTACTTTTAAAAAAAATATTATGTGAGCTAAGAATTATACACATCTTTTTCTGAGCAACAGTAATTTCCTAAGTATTTTTAAGAAATGGATAAGGTGTAGGTTTAGTTATAAAGTGTTTTTAAGAAGTTCTGTATCTAGAAGGATTTTTTTTTTTTTTTTTGATTTTTCTCCGGTACCGGGAACCGAACTCACAACCTTGCGCTTGCCAGGCAGGCACTTTTGCCGCTGAGCTAAATCCCCAGCCCCTCTAGAAGGATTTTTGTAGCTCCATTTCATAATAAAATGGGAGCTTTAGGTACTCAAAATTGAGGTTTTAGAAATTGACAACCAAGTCCATGTTCGATCATGTTTGGTGGTAAGGCTGCTGTTCCTGAGTCTGTGTGTAGGGTGGCAGAGTAGGAAAGTTGGGAATTCACCCCATTTTACCATGGCCGGAAAACATGGGTGTGGGCAGTATGTCACTGGCAGAGCTGGGGCCCTATGGTGGGCAGGAGTACATCTTCCAGGGGTGTGTTCTTTCAGTGTGTACTCCTAAATAAAGAAGCAAAACAGAAGTGGTTAAATGCTACTAGAGCCCCGCCAGTCCCTTCTCCGGTATGCTGGATTCCTACCTGCTCACCCACACAGGCACTGTTCTCTGGGGACCTCCCCGTCCTCCAGCAGCTAGCAGGGACCCCTCCGTCGCCCAGCATCTGAAGATCTCTCCTGCTTTGCCTCTTAAAAATGTTTTCCTCCTTGACTCCACACCCTCTTTTTCTGTGCCATCCCAGATCTTCTATGACAAATGTGTTTAGTTTTTACAGGCCCTGTATACAGTGCACAGTTACTTCATCGTTCCTTTGCAAGTGACTTTCCAGGGAGACCCGAGACAAAGTTAAAACTGCTTGTAGGATCTAGTCTGTCGTGGAGGAGTATGTTGGTTGGTGATGTAGGAAAAAATGGTACCCCAGCCAGTGTACTTCAGTTTGTTAGTTGCCCAGGTAATACTGTAGTTCCTGTTCCAGTTCCAGTTGCTTCTGTCTCTTAGAAATGGCTGGTCACTGTGATGCACATTGTATAAGCCAGTCCCCAGTTGACAAGCCATTCTGCCTCTGTGCTTCCTGTTTGCTTTTCTCATATAAGCCCTAGACCACCAGAGATCAGGGCCTGATATTCTGCGAATGATCTCCCACAGTGCCCATCACATAAATAAATCTGCCTCCATATCCTGGGTGTTGTTTCAGTGTTTCTGTTTGCCGTTGCAGTGAGAGAGAGAGTAGATCCTTGTTGACCTGTTTTCTGTTATATTTACTAAGAGTTGTTCACACATTAGGTAGTTGTGGTTATTAATATATTTTTATGATCAGGTTCTCGTAACAAAATGATCCATTTTAAAGTGAACAACTGAGTGGCGTTTAGTACGTTCACAGTGTTGTACAACCATCACTTCTGCTCATTGGAAATACTTTCATCAGTCTAAAAGAAAGTCTTGTATTCAGTAAGCAGTTGCTCACCATTTCCTTGACCGGAGCCCCTGATGACCACAGTTCCGCATTTGTGTCTTTGGACTTAACTTGTTCTGAGTATTTGACAGAGCAGAATCAGAATCATTTCGCCCTTTGTACCTCGCTTCTTTCACACAGCTTGTTATCTGAACTCCACAGTGTAGCAAATATATCTTGGTTTCTTTTGGCTGAATAAGGCTCCGTTGTCTGGCTGTGTCATGTTCATACACTTATCATTAGATAGGCAGGGCTGTTTCACCTGGGTATCATGGGCAATGCAGCCATATATGTACATGTACTTCTGTTTGAGTTCCTATTTGCAGTTCATTTGGGTAAATACTTGAGGACTAAAACTGCTGGATCATATGGTGACTCTATGTTGAGCATTTTGAGGTGCCACTAAACTGTTCCCTCACAGCCAAAGCATTGTACATTTTCACCAATAGTGTCTGAGTTTCTTCATATCCTTGCTGACACTTGGTTTTGCATTATAGTCATCTGTGTGGGTGTGAAACGATGGTACCCGATTGTGGTTTTATTTGCATTTCTCAAATGACCAGTGATGTTGAACATCTGCATGTGCTTATTGGCTATTTGTAAACCTTCTTTGGAGAAATGTCTATTTATATCCTTGCCTAGAGCTTAATCCTGCTGTTGTTTTATTGTCGAGTATATGTGTTATTTATATATTGCAAGTACCGAGGGTTATCTCTAACCTATGGACAATTTGGGGAGATTTGCCGTCTTAACACTGCTGAGTGTCTATGAAGATGAGCACTTTCCGTTTATTTACATCTTCTTTAATTTTTCAGTTGTATCAGTTTTAAGTAGCTAACCTGTGTTCAATTGCAAAGTTGGATATTACTGAGGCAAGGAGAAAATGAAAGTTAAATATTTCTTATCATCTTGTTGCAAAAGGTACCCTAGTGAGATTACTGAGTTTTATTTGGAATTCAACAGTGAGATTTGGATTCAGCAAGAAACTTGACATTTTTATATAGTGTATAAGTTCAAAGCTAATACAAACAATCTTATAAAAAAAAAAAATCTTCTTTATAAAGTGCCTGTACCATCTTTTAGTATTTTCTTTGTGAGAACCTTTGGGAGATTTTTAGCAGGGTAAC